AAGGTGAAAATAAAGCTGAAAAAATGTTTTCACTTTCTTAGAATTGTGTGAAAATCTTAAAACTTAAAACTTTATTAAAAAGCTTGTTCTGAGTCTAAACTTCAAAAGAAACATATCATCTTGTAGAAATCGAATTCTCTATCGATTAGTATGGCCTTCCATTTTTATTAGGAAAATGTCTAGGTGAGGAAATTGAAAATACAGTTTTCAAAAAATGTAAAACTGGATTTTTAGTACCAAAATTTGACGTTTTTCAAAAACTAATGTGAGATTCGTAATCAGCGTCAAAAACTGCATCTAATGATATGCTCCTATCAGTTCTACTCTAAAGTAATTTTTTCAAAAACTTGATCAGCGAAGTCTCGAGTTACGTGGACAAGCCGCTGATTTTTCCTTCCAGATAGAGATTATAACATGACAAAAGCATTGTTTGCTCGACGAATGCATTAAAATTTGATTGCACTATGTTCTCGAAGAAAAGTCCGAGTAAATCATAGTGGAATCAATCGTATATAACAAAACGGTAATGGAAATTGTGGAACTAGTGCGTACCGGTGCAACATAGCATGCGCAGTGGTGATGCCGGTCGTTTTTCAGTCCTGTACTGTTTGAAAATATATTTTTACATCAAATCTGCTACGATAACGTAAACGATGACAATACATAAGGGTTACTACAGTTTACGACGGTCGTATAGTTTGTTATGTTCTGATTTTTTTTGAAAAATTTGACTTGTCGTAAACGATCGTATACGACTGACGTAACTGCATCGTAATTCATCGTTTACATATCATCGTGTCTGTCAATGTTTACGACTGACGTATTTCGTCGTAATTTGACGTATATTGTAGTATACGGTCGTGGGTTCTCGACTTGGATTACTTTAACTATCAAAAGACATCAATTTCGTATGTAAATCAATCCACAGGACTGGATTTCTCTTATTTTACAAAGCCGCTATTCATCACGATTAGCGCATAGAACCTTATTGTTTTCTTTTTCCTCGTGATGATAGATCACAGTCGAATTCGAACTGGTTTGCAAGAAGTCGTTGAAAAATGCTGCAGTCAATTTAGAAAATTTTTTCACAGCAGCAACTAAAAACGATGTTTATGGTCAATTGTTAAATACAAATGTAAGAAAAAGGCATCCATTTTCTGCCATTTCAAATTTAACTACTTTTCTCGATGCTGTGCTTTTTTTCTCTCAGAAATATGAACAACTTTTGGAAAGAATGGTGGCACGATTCGGACCAAGATATAAAAATGTTTTAACAATCAAAGAAGTATGACTCAAATCTTGTTTACTTTTACTTGTTTAGCACTATTTTAACCTTCAAAGACGATACTGTGTACCCTGTGACTCATTTTAGGTTGATGATGATGGCACGGATATGGATTTGCAATTATTGATCAGAAACTATGATCTATGTCCGTTATTATACAAAATCGTCTATCCTCAACGTAGTTACTTTTATCTCACATTCGGGGACGAAGTATTAATCGATTTCGATGAAGAAAAGGATGATATTTCGCTTATATTATCGATATTGATATCCGTATTTTATGTTTTTGACATAACGTATCCAACAGTTTACAAACCGTTGTTGGAAGTCTTGGAGTTTTTTATCTTCGACAGGAACAATCATCCATCAAGTGCAAAATTGACTGTACCGGCACAAAACTTTATTATCGAATATAATCGAAAGACGCGATCATGATACATAATTAGTCGCTCCGTTAAAACATCTTACAAATTTCTTGCTGCTATCGATACAAATTAAAACAGCATATCATTGGACGGTACACAACTGAACTCTTACGATATTTTATCGTACAGTACAACTTTGCTTACAATTTTTATTTTGGGTTGAATAGTAAAAAAATATTTTTCTTGTCGTTCTTTTTATAAATAAGATAGTCTGATTGAGTTTTACGATTAGATTTTGTTGATAAATATCCTTTTTTCTATGATTACACTGTTTGTTGTTGTTTTTCACTTTATTCAGTGTAGTAAAATTGGTTTTGATAAAAAAAATATTTATGTGAGCAAATGAAATATGAATAGAAAAGTACTAAATAAATTTTATTCCACGAAATATCTGTTGGAAAGTAAAAACGGATCGCTTGAGATTTAGGGTTCGATCCACGAAATATCAGAACAAGAGCATGTCGCAAATAAATGTGTCGAAGATGCAATGCAAATAATGCGTCGCAACCCGAACCGTGTGTCGCATGCCATAGTGACGCTAGAAGCGTCGAGTTTTACGACACATGCGGCACTTTATTTTTTAGAGTGTGGTGAATCTAGTGCCAGTATTTATACTTAAAAAAAGGTTTTAAAATCTGGTGAAAACCGAGTTGTTCAAAAATTAGAGTTTTCACCGGACACAACTAACTACATACTGATTATATTTTGGCACCCATAAAAACTTTCACTTATCATGCACTACCTTGCCTTACCTTCTTATATCTTAACTTCTACACCTTACCTTCTCTTAAGTAATCTAACACTAAATTCTCTTCCCTGCCTTACTTTACTATATCTTATCTTAACTACTAGACCTTACCGTACCTTAACATATATTAAATCCTCTGAACTTCTCTCACCTTCTCTACATTACCTTACCTTACCTTACCTGAATTCATGGGCTCATACATATATATTTTGATTGCTACAGTTACAAAATAGAGTGTTCTGTTTTGACACGTGTCGATTCAGACGGGCATTTACCTATACGGATTATAGTCCTTCCCCAAGATCATCAGGGAACACCAGAAATAACAGTGGTCCTAGGACTGAGCTCTGAGTTACACTGCAGTTTATATCAGCTAATCATGATTCAAATCCATCTACTATTGTCTTAATTTTTCTATTTTTAGATAGTTTTCTATCCATTTAACCAATTGTTCGCTCACACGTTTTCGTCATAGTTTATAAATCAATGCAGGATGGCTGATCGAATCAAATATTCGAAAAATTCAGAAAAATCCCCCTCACAAATTTAGATTCCTGTAATCCCTCATGCATATAATGGAGAAGAGTAACTAATTGATTTACGCAACAATTTGTTTTGATGAAACCAGACTGATGAACAGAGATTAAATTATTTTTGATTAGATACTCATATAAATACTTAAATACAACTCTTTCCACTATTTTACTCAATATTTCTCAGTGTGATTGCACGATAGTTTTGGATAACATGCAGATCTCTCTTTTCGAACACCGGAAGTACTGACCCTATTTTTAAGGAATTTGAAAAAATACATTGTCTGTGCATTTAGTTGGTAATAGAGAAAACAGAAACGAAAAAACGACTTGTGAGTTCTGCGTCCAAAGAGTAATTCTGTTTATTTTCACACAAATATATAAAGACAGTAATGTCTTATAAATCAATAAAATGCTGTTACTCATTGCTCTGTATAAGTTGCACAAAAATGTATAGGGACTCAGAGCATTTTTAACCATCTCGAATTGTATCACGATTGTTATTTTCTTTCTTTGTTTAATCTCACCCGAAACAATTGATGCTTTTTTTAGAAGCAAAAAAGAGTCGGATTAGATTTGATTTGATTTTTATTTGACAACAAAAAGATAGCAAAGAAAACAATAATAGAATGTTGCAAGGATAACAGAAAAGCGCGAAGAGCCCTTATGATTACTGTTTCCCAAAAAGAAGAAAAAAAAAAGAAGAGAAAAACAACAACTGAGAGGTTAGGTAGAGAAGGGGAAAGGAAGAAAAAAAATGGATGTAAATTCATATTTCCAAGAAATCCTTTAGCTTTTGCTTAAATGGCCTAATTGATGTTGCAGTCACAACTTCATCAGGTAACCCATTCCACTCTATTGCCGTGTGATGAAAGAAGGAGTACATCGTCGTGTACGTCCGTAGATTGTCATTAACATGTACAACTTGAGAATGGTTTAGCCTGTCAGATCGCCTGTTTGTGTTTAATTGAATTAGATTTATGTGTGACAAAATGGAATGATTATTTAAAATTTTGTAGAAATGAAGTAAACGGAAGTATTTTCTTCTTTTATATAAATCAGGTAACTTGCGCTTTTTCAACAGCAAAGACACAGAACCATCAAAACTTTTGCAAATAATTCTGGCGGCTAATTTAATTACAGAGTCAATACGCGAATTACGGTGGGGAAATTTAGTATCGTAAACAATTGAGCAGTAATCTAGTTTACTCAAAATGCAAGCCTTGAATATTGATAGACGGATAAGAGAAGGTGCAATCTTAAAACACCGATATAAGGCGCCTAATCTCCTACGACACGCAAGAACAAGATCGTCAATATGATCACCCCAATGTAAATT